TGAGGACCCCAGGTCTGTGCCACCCTGGGCATATCATGGACAGAGCAAGGTCTCCTTAGCTGGCACTGTCACTCAAGGGACTAAAGGCATATGGCACTTTGCAGGATGCAACCCAGTATGACTTTGGTAAGACATGCTTCCTGTCTTTTAGTTCATCAAACCGTAAAACTGTTGCTTAATATTTACCAGCAGCAGTTCCCAGGCACTGCAAGCTGTTCTCTAATGATATTTCCAATTCAGTCTGAGATTCCTGAATGAAATTTCTGTAGAAGGGTTACTTAAATGTTTTCTTTTTCAGCCTGAAGTTCGTTCAATATAATGTTATAGAAGCAATCTTTGCAAAGATCTCACTTTGAGAGAGGTTTTTTTTTCTTTCCTTTTCTTTTGCTCTCGGCAGTGGCTGTGACAAGAATGACAGCGCAAAACACAACAGAAAGTTATAAACGTTACTTTCCCTCAGACAGTAAACAAACTCCTGGATTACCACCATCCTGGATGGGAAACTGAGCCTCTCTGCTTTCAGAAACTCCCACCCTTGTCTCCTCCTGGGGCAGCAGGGTATGTATAAATTGAACGCAATGCTACCATCATTTCAGTTGATGCTCCTGGCCTGTATGGATGCTGATGCTTTTGAGGTCAGCCGGAAGATGAGCTTCCCCTACAGACACTGTTTGGGGCTCCTTGGGAGTGACAAATTTGGGACCTGTCAAGCAAAGAGTATGGGCCACCCATATCTACAGCCATCTAAAAAGGGACTCCAGCAGAGGAATAAACAATTGAAGGAAGGTGCTTTTTGTCACTGCAGTGGTTTTTTGCCTTTACTTCAGTTTGCTGCACGAGCAAGGCAGTGCCATTCGGCCACACTCTTTGACATGCACCTCCTGACACCCAACAAAAAGGTTGCCATAATCTGATAACAAGCATGAGCCTCCCCTTCCCCACCGTTGTCCTCTTCTCCATCCTGCCATGCAGATCTCTTTTTGCTAAGCCCACACCCCAAGCTCAGGTCGGGATCCATCCCTGTCATAACATGACATGTTCTCTGCTCCTCCTGCTGGCATTCTTCCCTTCCCCCTCTCAGCACTTTCTTTCCACCAGGTCCTTTCACACTGCAGAGCTGTGCACAGCGTCTGAAGAGCTGGCACAGGGCAGACCATGCCAGGGGCCATTGTCACCATTTAACAGCGCAGATGATTGAATTAGAGGCTTTGGCATGGCTTTGTTTATCAGTATTAATGAGGCTGAACCAATCATGCAATTCCTTGGGGTCTTTTGCCTCTCTCCTGCCTTTCCTTTCTGGAATCTTGACCATCACTCCATCCCACCCCCTCCCACCTCAGCCAGCTGCTCCAGAGGTGCTGGGTGTGGGACTGATTGTTAGTGACACAGATGCATTATCGGGGGACAGAAAAAATAGGAGGCAGGGCGTTGGGGAATGCATATACCTACAGGATTTTTCTTGAGGGGAAGAGCAAGAAAATGTAAGTTTTTAAGAGGTTGAGGTTTTTAAGAAAAATATAAGACCCTTCTCCAAACCTTGACTCTAGCTTGTGGCTTTGCATATTCAGTTTTCTCTCACCGTAGCATAGGACTTGGGCTTGAGTACTAGAAACATGAATGGGATTTAAGAAATTAAAACGTTCAGTCCACAGGTAAGATTTCTTGCCATCAAAAAGCCAGCATGAAGGTTTTTGGGTCTGGGCTGCCACTGCTGGGATTTTGCATAGAGAGGCATCGCTGGGGTTCAGAGTCGTGGTACAGCGAAACTCTGATAAGCTTGGATGTGGTTGCACCGAACAACGCTGCCTCAGCAAGCTGGTTTGGGCACGTTTCCCTCTTCCTTTCCAAAGTACCTTCCCAGCAAACTCATTACCCGCACAGATGCACTAAAAGTGCTCTTGGAACAGAAATGAGAACAGAAGGAATGAAAACAATTCTTCTGCTAAAAGAGCTGAGGTTTACGTTTGTTCTTCGGCTGCACCTTCCCCTGCCCCAGTGCAACACAAAGGAAATCTCTGCAGCTGATCTGGGACTTCACAAACCGAGGGATTATGCACTATAGATACTGACAGGCCCCTTCGCTTCCAGCCTGGCAAACACCACAACAGTAATCTCCTCTCTGAGATAAAGTCCATCAATCTTATTCTTACACCATCCTGTTCCCCTCTGCCCCACAGACAAAGCTGGAAGAGCAACCCTCCTCAGGAAGGACGCTAACATCTTTTCTTCCCTGGCACCCTCCTATTGTAATTTATTCTTTCAGCTGGCATCCCATCAAAAAGTCAGACATATCCATTTTCTGTGCTGAGCTGACTAGTTTTCAATAACAATTTCTCCTTCGTTTTGTAACTGAGATCAATAAAACTGCCCCTCTCTCATATTGGCCGAGATTCCAGCAACGTCATTTGCTCTTTATTGTTGCTACTGCTTTGTTTTGTTTCCTTTTTTCCTTTTTCTTTTTTTTTTTTTTTTTTTTTTTTTTTTGGCAAGGCACAGATCAATTTAACAAGATGAAAACGACTTAGACTTTCATTCAAGGTAAAATCTGCACTTTATAACCCAGGATGTAATTTACAATCCTGTCATTAAGCTCTGTTAATCCTATTATTATGAAGATAAATAATTACCCATAGCGAAGAAAGGGATTCCCAACAGAGTAGAATTATATTTTCCATCAGTAATGAAAAATATCCCTGCCGCAGTGACACTGGAAATACAGATAGTGAGTACTCCCAAGAGTCCCAGGAAAGGTTTGCTACGCAGGCAGTCCTTCATGGAGCTCGAGAGGGTAGCAGTCAGGAGAATCAGCATCAGGCTCACCAAAATCTTGCCCCTGGCCAAGAGACTGGTCTGGTGGAAGTCCTTCCAGAGGCTAAAGGACGCTAGTGAGTAGAGCTGCAGATCTTGGTGATCCAGCTGCATCTTGTGCATCAGTTTACAGAATTCACTTTCCCACTTCTCCCCAATGAGGTCCTGGGTGACAGAGCCATACGTTTGGAGGTAGTAAGTGATTTGGATGGCTCTGGCTGATTTGACTCTCTGGTCCTTGCTGTTTGGTACTTCCATGACCCCTCCGAGCTGGTGACCAATAAAACTGCTCCTTCCGTCCTGGGAGGGAAAGTAAAAAAGATGAGCATGTGGTTATCCTGTGTAAGATGTGATACCTTTTGACTCTACCATCCTTTCACAGACATGCCAAGAGCTCAACTCGAAGGCCACTGCAGCCAACAGCAGCTGTGCCATTCACTTCAGCGGGCTTTGGGACGTATCCCTACTCCCTGCCACCGCTCTGTTCCTCACTCATTATAGACTCATTTGCAATTCTGTGCTGCAGTTCAGGGACTGCCCAGATACTCAATGCGGTCCCAGATGTTCCGGGACTGAAATGTAGCATGCAAGCTCCTCATCCCGGAGAGGATCGCTTTCCCACATTTTAACTGTGACAGACAACAACAAATCTCCAATTACTGAAGTATGAAATTTTTGAGATGAAGATCAATTTCTGGAAGATTTGTGATTTTCTGACACTTTGGAACTGCTTTTAAAAAGTTGGAAATGTACAGAAAAGAAGGTCTGGTCCCTCAGTATACAGATATAAATGTAGATGGATCTGGTTTAATAGCTACTCTGGTTCTAGAACAATATAATTAAAGTCAGACCTTTTGAATTGTTTGTTTGAAATTTCATGGATATCTATCAGTGGCACAGAGATAAGAATCTACCTTACACCTCAATTTAGCCAGTATTTGGGTTTTATATTTCAAGAATAAAAACCTTACTCTCATCTCACTTATTTCAGTATATGTTAGGACATAAAAACTCCATGACAATCAGTAAAGGACACATCGGGTGCACTCAGGATCAGGCCACATCTATTTACAAGACCAGGCTACGTTTTTGTAGTTATCTGGTCCCGTTTAGATGGGGTTTTCTTCATTTTTTTGTAAGCAGGTTTTGTGAGAAAGGTCCTTGCATTTTAGCCGCTGGTTATTCTAGTTCTCTAGAGTAACTGTGATGTGCCCCTTCAAGACAGGGGAAGCTTGCATGGATTTAGATCAAACCCAGATGCAAACTGAAGAAGAAGACTCAGTAAATTGGATAAAAATGTCCTAGCACAAGTAATCTCTTTGATCAAAACCTCTAAACCCAGGGATTAAATGTCTGTTGCACACCAAACCCCAACATTTTGCTTTTTTTGTGTAAATGGGATTAAAAGTTTTCAGATTTCTTTCCTCTTGTATTTAATAAAAACATAAAATTATCAAGCCAGTTAACATATAAAACATCTTGCAGCAGTGAGCTCACATGAGATAATACTCTCTGCCTAGATGCACTATGGGAATGATGACTGACAGCCTGAATTTGGGAGATGCTCTGCTCTACGCACACACATGGAAGCAGCCACCTGCAAAAGGCCAGAAGCATTTGGGGGAGACACTTTTAACATCTGCTATGTACAACATTAACCATTTCTAGAACACCTGTGCTGCAAAGAGGTCATTATCTGAAATTGCCAGACCTGCTTGCTGTAATGATTCCTATCCTAAGGAAAAATCAATGAAGCAAGGTACCAGGCTTTATGAAACACAGATGTCTTCCGGGATGTCTGCTCATAGAGCAAATAAATATCAGAAACTGAGAGACAGTGCTGAAAATGTTTTATATACTCACCTTGCCTTGTCTCTGCTATGTAAAGGATGTAATCCTCCCACTGAGAAATTTCTGCCTATGCCTGCTTTCATGGCAGGGGGTCCCCCTGTTTTCAGTGTTTGCCTGCCACAGCCCAGGGAACGTGACAAAGTGCTTTTCAGAAGTTCATTTTTTCCCTATTCCCAGTTGCTATTTCCCATTGAAATAACGGCTTCTGGCGAGGTATCCTGGCATAAGCTGACATGAAAGGTGATTTGTAGTCTAATGCCAGCTTCTCAAATCACCTGAAGCCCCATTGCAAATGTCATATAAGCAGAGACAGCTAGCACAGAGGGGCAGCTGGTGCTGTTTGGACTCAAAAAAACCCTCGTCTCTTGCATTTCATGTTAGAATCCTGTTTTGAGTCATTATTTCTATTATTTCCTAAGGAGGGGTCACACCTAACACTCACACGTTCACAAAAGGTAGATTTCCGAGCTGATAATTAAGGTTTGAGCAATGCAGTCCCTGCTCATATCAGATGCAACTTTGCAGTTAAAAATCCCCTTTGGCGTTGCTTTGAAATTTTAGGGAGAAATGTCATATTTCCTCAGTATATATGCAGTGTTGACATTCAAACGTTTTCAGCCACTGCAGGATACTTTAGCAGCACAGCTCCAAACTCAGACAATGGACTGTAATTCAAGTTTCATTGATTCACTATGCAGCATGCACGGCAAGGTTATGGGAAACTTTGCGATGACCATCTGCCTGCCTCTGCAAAAGGTGCACCGAACGACGGCAACATTTCAAAAAAAGCAACAGAGCAGCACAAATAAATCATGTTCTGCCGTATCTCCCACGAAACAGAAGATAACAGCTATTTGTTACACTGATGTACAGTAGGGCATCCAGCTCATATGTCAGCAAAATAGAGAGCGAGCTTTCAGATGGAATCGAGGAAATCACAGATGCTGAATTGCTTTGAGGTCGTTTTGTCCGTCCCCTTCCTTCCAAAGGCAGATTGTTTCCTATCTACACAAGAGGTTTGCCTTTGTTGCTTTTATAGAATGCAGACATGAACTTGCCACCATGGCATTTGGGAAAACGGGGCCCTTTTCTAATACAGCTCACATGGTGGCTCTGCCGAGTGCTCCAAGTGAGATAAAGGTCCTGTTGCACTAGGCAGGGCTGTCACATCAATGGTTACAATTCTTCAGCAAGGAAGACAGAAGAAAGATGGGAAAAAATATTGCCTTTCATCCCATTTTACAGATGGAGCCTGAAGTGTGGGAAAATGAAGACCCAGCTGCCAGCATGACTTTTGGCATTTCCTAGAGGCCTCCAAGCCAGGGTCCTGACTACCTCTTGGTGTCTTGTGGGCACTTCAGGGGAGTTGTTCACCATACCAAGTTCTCTGTTGTGCTCCAGGACCACCTTGGTGAAAGAAGGAGACACAAATGGCTAAGCTCCTGGGCTAAGCCTAAGGTTTGGGAAATAAAATGAGGCCACAGTGACTTGTACAAACGAGATCCTTCGTTCTGCCTAGTTCCTCAATGAAAAAAGCACCTTCTATTGTAATTAGCACGTCCTTTCTGGTATATGCCTACATGATGCTATTTTTAATTTCATAACAGTAGTTTCATGTTTCAGAGTACAGATCCCTTACACATTTTACCTACATCTGTTGCTACTCTCTGATCTTATACACAGAAAAGCAAACTCAAAAAATAGAGTAATGATAATACTACTTATTCGTTGTACGCAATTTTACACCAATGTATCTCCAGAGGATCTACAACACAAGATAACTGTCTTTAGCAAGGTCACTAGCATGGCCAGAGCCTGAATTTCAGATTGCCAGGCTATGTCTGTGTGTCTTTCTCTTCCTTTCTTTTTTTTTTTTTTTTTTAATGTATAGTGATAACTTTACAGTGTCTGTTCTCCCAGAGGACAAAAAGGGCCATCGTCCATTCTGATGCCAGCTAATTCTCTCCAGATTTGAGCATCTTTAAAAACGGCATGAAATTTAGATCACTTGCTGGGGCATGTGATATTTGATCTTAAACAGAGGCCAAGCAAAAATCTTTTCTTTGACGGATACTATTAAATTGGGTTTTTTGTACTCTCTTCTCTTTTTCTAGATGCCCCAAAGCCATTTGGTAGATTTAGACTCTGAAAGGGAGGAAGATGAGAACTAAGGACTCTCAGAGGAGTGAGAGATGACAGACATCAACATCATCATCCACCTTTTCCCCCAAGATGATGGATTTTGCCACCTGCATGTATGCAGACCTGGCCTTGCATGTGGTTGAAAATCCAAACTCATTGTCCGTTCAGCAGTGGAAATCACTAATGACGAATGGATGGATGCAGAATAAACCTGTATCAGATTTCAGGCTAGAAACTTGTCTGTAAGGGATGCTTGGACTACTAATATCCTAAAAAGATATGTAAATGGCATGGGAATGTTTGGCTTGTTCCAGAGCTAATTGCCTGGGACCTTTTTCGTCTCCTCAGTAGTTTCAGTGTGCTGCTGCAGCCCTGACTCCCATCCCTGGGGCTCCGTGCCTGCTGCCACGGCAGCCCTGGGCAGATCACCTTCTCCTCCCTGCTTTGAATGGCACCAGCCTCCACTGACTTCCCTCCAGGGGAAAAACAGAGGGTTTAAGGTATTTTTGAGATGACATGGCTCCTGCCTTCCCAGCACCCTGCTCAGTGGAGGCTAGGGCTGGTGAGAGGTTTAAAAGTCACTTCAGATCCCTGGCAAGGAGGACAGGAGCCCTTGTACCCTACTGCAAGATAACTCTCCTTCAAGTACATTTGCAGAACATTTGCCAGCAAATTTATCTCTGTTTTTATTTTTCTTTAACTGCTACTTCTTATCAACTGGAGTGATGGATAATTATCAAGCTACATTCTAGAAATGAAATCCTGGTTAAACTCTATTTTATCTTAAAAGCTTAAAAATGTTCAACAGAGGGCAACCAGGAATGTCTGTCGAAATGTATTGTGTGATAAACATCCTAATGAGATCAATGCACTTGTTTCACTCCGTAATAGGGACATTCTTACTCTACCAAACGTAAGTCACAGAAAGTATTACACTACAGTCCACAGAGGTTAGGATGAAGTCAGTTGCTTTAGTTCACCTAAACTTTTCAAGGTAAAATAGAATAAAAGTCCCCTTTCTTTGAGACATTATTTAGCGTTTAACACATTTGATTGCTCCTACCTCCCTCTAGCTCACAGTAAAATTTTGGAGGGATGTTTTTTCTCCCCAGCTGGCTGATTTTTCTGTCCCTGTCCCCTGTATAGTTATCCATGGAGATCCCTATTACACAGCCACCAGTTACCCACAATTCTCAAAGCATCCCTTTCAAACGGTCACACGTAATGCTGATTTACGTCAGCGCAGCAGTTCTCCTGCCCTCAGAGCTGTGTAGGTGCTCTCACACACCTACCAGACTGCTTGCTGT